ATCTTCTATTTTCAGGCGTTTCTTTCTAACTGAAGATGGACATGCAGTTAGCTGTGCCACTTACTTCCCTAATTCTGTGGAAAAAACCCCTTACACATAGTTCAGACATGGGTGAAAAGTTCAAGCCCATCAGACTTCCACGGCTGTAAAATAGCATACATTAACAGTGTCTTATCTTTAGTTGTCAGGACACTTATCTAATGCAATCTGCTCTTGCACAATCATCTAAGAAAATAAGTAACACTACAAGTTGAACTACAGCTGAACATTATAACTATTATGCATATATAAGAGCCAGGTTAATACTGATACATGGTGCTGCTAATAAAACACAAACAGTTATACTAAACTTTATCATCATAAAAGCAAAATAATACTAACAGTAAATAAAACAACTGCAACTCCTGAATTCCAATTCTAACAAGGAGCAGGTGGACGGTATACAATAACAAACAGAACAGGCTTTTGAGTTTTCCAGTTTGGGTGTGAGAGACTCAGGGTGAGACTTTCAAATGAGTTATAACTATGTTTAGGTCTAGGGTTGATTAATAGGCTTGAGTCAAAGATCGCTGCCACGCCACCACCTCAGCCTGTGTTTCGAGGGATGTGACAGTTACTGTGACCAGGTGGAGTGGATTCATTTAGACTGACATATTCTTCCTGCTGTAACCATGTTTCAGTAAGACACAATAAGTCAATGTGATGTTCACTTATCAAATCATTCACTAACAGAGATTTAGATGAGAGAGATCTGATACACATTGGGTAGGGGTCCAGAGAGAACTACGGAGTCCGACATTGTTTTGGCGAAATTACACACCGACTCAACAGGAACTGGGACCACACAGGATGTCTTCCACAGAACCGGAACTCTCCAGGCTAAGACTCAGATTAAACATGTACGGGACCACCTCACTGAGCTGGTCTGCACACTCCCTAAGGACCCTGGAGCTGATGTGGTCAGGGTCTGTGGTCTTCCTGGCCTTAATCCTCCTTAACTCCCTCCTGACCTGGTCCACCGTATGGCTGAGGGGACGCGTGGGCAGTGACTGCTCAGGAGCTGTGGGCTGTTGATAACCCCCCATGACAGTGGGAGAAGGGGCAAGGTCTGGCTGAGGTGTGAGCAGCTGCGAGGGGACAACTGACCTGGAGAGGTGAGACGGGGGGGCTGAGGACTGGGTAGAGTCAAATCTGTTAAAAAAACAGATTCAGTTCATTTGCCCAGGCCTGGTCTCCTGCAGCCTGGTGACCATCCCTGCTACCATCTTCATGACAAGAGATGTGTTTCAGTCCTCTCCACACCTCATGCACATTGTTCTTTTCCATGCTCTGCTCTAGCTTCTTCCTGTAGCTAGCCCTGCACCCCCGGATCATGTACTTTAGTTCCTGCTGCACCCTGCTCAGCTCCTCCTTGTCCCCTGATAAGAAAAACCTCTTCTTCTCATTCAGCAGTGCCTTTAACTTGGGGCTCACCCACGGCTTGTTATTGGAAAAACACCGTACTCTCCTGGATGGCACCGTATTTTCCACACAGAAGTTTATGTAATCCGAAACACAGTGTGTGAGGCCGTCTATGTCCTCTCCATGAGGACTACAGAGGATGTCCCAGTCTGTGGTGTTAAAACAGTGTCTCAGCTGCTCAATTGCCTCCTCTGTCCATACCTTTACTATTCATACCTGTGGTAACACCTTTTTCACCACTGGAGTATACACAGGAAGCAGGTAGACAAGGTTGTGGTCAGAGCGACCTAGAGGGGGGAGGGGGGCAGAGGTGTATGCAATGAGGATTATAGCAGGGGGTGTTGTGTCTGCAGCCTTGACACGGTGCTCTGCTGCGTGAACTAGTGTGAATCCATGTAGGGAGACCACAGAATCAGAAATGTCCTTGTTCATCCAGGTTTCGATGAAACACATCATGCTACTCTCCCTGTAAACCCTTTCCACTCTTGTTGGCGCCGTTAGCTCGTCCATCTTGTTCGATAGCGACCATACATTTCCCATAACGACAGATGGTAGACATGGCTTATACCTCCGTTTCCCCTCCCAGAGCTTTACGCCAGCTCTACAGCCTCGCATTTTACGCCGTATCTCCGTGGGAATCTCCAGCTTCTCCCTGTAGGGGAGCCGGACATGGCTGAGGGCAGCTGATCTTGAGAGTAAACAATGGGGCCGCTGCTCCCGGAGTCCCCTGACTCGGGAGCTCGCAAAAGTGTATAAAACATAATGCAAATGCAATAATAAGTTGTACTCCTAGTAGCACTGCTCCACAGAGGCCTACACAAGAAGTATAACACAAAGCAAGTATAACACAAGGCAAACATGGAAAACACGAGGAAAAAAAAACACAAAAGAGGACAGAGCTGCTGGAACTCGCTGCCACTCCGCGCGGTGCCGGAAGTATTCCGGCGACTGAGAAAACATAACTCGTGGTTCAGAGAATGGATTTCCGGTGTGAGCTCTGTCTCTCTGATCCCAGCACTGTAAGACTTCACCTGTGCCCAAACTTGGAGTAAACTTCCTGTTGATTTTATACAGTCCTCTCCTGTCTTCACTTCTCGCGCTTTCAATAAAAGAACCGGGTAAAATCTAACAGTCTCACGTCTGTTTTCATCCAGGTGTAGATGAGCCTCCCGCTGACCGTCTGGAGGAAGTTTTCCTTATATAGCCAAGACTTTCTCCAACCCAGTGCACCATGGGAACTGCAGGCCTCTTCATGCTTCTCCTCTCCTTGGTGACATCATCAGTGTGTGCCGGAGTGGGCGGGGCCAGCCAAGGTAAAGGGCACTAATGTGCTTTACAGACAGTGGAGTGACAGGTGGCAAGACAGAGTTTAAACAGTTTTTTGTGTGTGCATGAATTGTGTGTCCAGTAGGTGGCGGTGTGCTGTGCCCTCTGCAGTGTGTGTGTGAGACACGGCCCTGGTACACCCCGCAGTCAGTGTATCACCAGGCCCGGACAGTCGATTGTAACGAACTCCATCTACAGAGAGTGCCGGCCAACATGTCGTCTGACACACAGGTGAATTTATACATGTAGCCACTTTGTTATTGGTACGTTTACCTTTGTTATTGCTCTGTGGGAAGATCTAGGCTCGATCACACTGTGCACGCTGTTTCTAGGCCTGAAGGTGTTATTACATGATGCATATTGAAAGTTTAATTCTGCAAGGTTTTATGGTTATTATCCATTTGACATAGACTGTCACACATATCAAACCATTCCAGGACCAGCATTGTCCCCACCAACACAGGGGTGCTACTGTGGCTGAAATATCAGTAAAACCTTTGTTTCCTCTCTTTGGCAAACACAGTTACAAACAAACAAACATGTTAGAGGTTTGACTTTGTTCAAATAAAACTCAAGATTATTATAACGGAACATGTTTCGTCCTAACCCGGTCGCTGAAGCTGCAGCGGTGCACTTGGCGAGCACTTAGCTGCAACGAGTGAACAGGTGAAGATGCTGTGGATTTACTGTCGGGATGTCCCTGTGTTCTCAGGTGCTGCTGCTGCAGAGTAACAACATCTCCTCCATCACTACTGAGCTGCAGAGTCTGACTAACCTGACAGAGCTTGACCTGTCGCAGAACCACTTCACACAGGTAACACAGCACACGCCAGGTGGCTAAACATGTGTGGACACTGCTCCACACATCCTTCAGCGTCTCTTTTCCGAATGCCCCAGTGAGACTTTAGACAGCAACGTTCTCCCAATTTGTGCTGGTCTCTTTCCTGTTTCTCCGTGCTCAAAAGCAGCTCCACAGAGTGTTTCTCCCTCCCTGTCCAGGTGAGCTCTATGGGTCTGTCCTCTCTGGGTTGCCTGGTGACTCTATACCTGGAGGAGAACCACATTGAGGAGTTGCAGGACTTCAGCCTGAGGAACCTGTCCAGTCTGGAGGAGCTCTACATCAACCACAACCGCATCTCCTCCATCGGGCCCAGAGCCTTTGCCGGGCTCAACAACCTGCTGCGGTAACTTTTTCTTCTGCTTATGCTTCTTCTTTGCACATTCCATTTTCTCACTTCAGTCGTGTTTAATGTGCAATGTAGGGCCTTCGGACCTCTGACGGTATCGATAGTACCACATAAGAAGCCCCAGAACTGATTGTTAGGATCTCCCTAACCACCATCAGAACCACCTAAAGAATCTATATAAGTTCTAAAGGACCAACACACCCATATCAATGACCACAGAAACCACCTGGAGCTCTAGAAGTTCTAATGACCACAGGACCTCCTAAAATTCCACTACAATGACACAAAGGACCCCAGCACCTCCCCAGTGACAATGAGCTCCTCCCCAAAGACCATTAATGCCATCTAAAGAACTGCTATCAGCTTTAAAATGGCCACAGCTTCCTCCTAAAGGACACATACAGTAGAATTACCATCATTCCTTCTGTTCTTTGCTCATGTGTTTAGGTTCTTCACATCTCTATATCAGCCTATCGGGCATAAAACTAAATCAGAGCACCATTTGTTATTTTCTGGTAATTAAGTATATAGTTAGGTCACATTTGTGATCATAAGATGTTTGTTTGTCCTCTGCCCGGTCCTCAGGCTCCACCTGAACTCCAACCGATTGGTGGCCATCAACAGTCATTGGTTCAAGTCCCTGCCATCCCTGGAGATCCTGATGATTGGGGAGAACCCCATCCTGGGTCTGGAGGAGAAGAACTTCTTGCCTCTGTCCCGCCTCCACAGCCTTGTGCTGGCTGGGATGGGACTGGCCTCCATCCCCTCTGCCGCTTTCCTGGGTCTCGAATACCTGGAGAGCCTCTCCTTCTACGACAACCGGCTCAGGTGTGTCTGAACGTGGCCACTGGTCCAGCTTTGTCTGTTACGTTCTCACACTGTAACAAAGTTGATAAAGTGTGTCCAACTGGCAGGTCTGTTCCCCGGGACGCTCTGAGCATGCTCCCTAACCTGAAGTTCCTGGACCTGAACAGGAACCCAATCAGCCGAATCCAGCAGGGAGACTTCCAGAACCTTCAGCACCTGGAGGAGCTCAGGTTAGTCTGAGAACACACCTGTAAAATCTAGGAATGTCCGATCAAGTTTTTTGGCCCTGATCCAGTGGATTTTAGCACTGAGTACCTGCAGATACAGAGTCCTACCTGATGCTGGTACTGGCCTATTTGTTGATTCAATCTCTATCAGAAATATCAGCATTAGCTACAAAATCTCAATTTTCACAAGCTACCTGATCCAAATGTTGAAAGTCCTGATTCAAAACTACTGTATAAATCTGATCAATTTAAATTAATGATTTGGTGTGAATAAAATTTGAACTGGGAGATCTGGGAGATGTGATGTGGTCAACTGATGGTTTGATTAAGGAAGACATCTCGTTGCGTCAGTGCTGTTGAACTGTAGAAATACTCACAGTTCGGTGGTGTTACAGAGCGGAGCTTCTGTCCACACAAACATCCATTTTCCTCCGCTTATCCGGGACCGGGTCGCGGGGGCAGCAGTCTAAGCAAAGATGCCCAGACCTCCCTCTCTCCTGACACTTCCTC